GGCCGAGCCAGCCAGAATCCCCACCCCCAGGAGCCAGGCAGCCCTGTGAGGCAGGACCTGGCTGCTGGCGCCGGCCGTGCTCAGAGGATGTGCAGCTCGTCCGCCTCTGACAGCCCGTACTTGGTCTTGTTCTCATGGAAGAGCTTGAGCAGGGAGCTGATGTACATCTCGTGGTACATGTCCACCACCTCAGGGCTTGGGTTCTTGATCTTGGGCACCATCACTGGCTCCCCCACTGCCAGGAGGGGAGGAAGGTCAGGCTGGTGGTGCGGGGACACGCTCAGCTCATCGGGAACAAGAGCTGAGCATCACCTTCCAGTGCCATCCACTATGGGTTGTCCTCCTCCTCCACCCCTCCACCCCCCAGGGGTGCCCTCTGCCCCACGGGGTACTCACCCACGGTGGTGATGGGCCTGGGGTAGGGGAGGAAGCCCCAGGACTGGACAGAGGTGAGACCCCGGCCGTAGAAGACACAAGGAGCAAAGCCCATAATCTTCTGGAAGCGCTGTTGGATGCTCCTCATCCAGGTGCCCTCCTCAAACACCACCTGGCGGAACAGGTCGTTCTCCCCGAAGGAGAAGGACGGGACCAGGTGTGCCCTGTGGAGGGGGACACGGTGAGTGCTGAGGGGGGCCCCGGGACCCCCGCGGCGGCCGCGCCAGGGACCCACCCGTGCTGCAGGGCCATGCGGACGAAGCCCTTGCGCTTCCTGAGGATGAGGGTGGTGACGCCGGGGCGGCAGGAGAGCGACTCGGCCGCGCCGCCGATGACGATGGTCACCGCGTTGCCCGTGCCGTTCTGGGACAGCAGGTACCCGATGGCGCGGCGTGTCACCGGGCACAGGCCTGCGTGGGGACACACCGCCCGTGCCGTGGGACAGACAGCCCCGGGGGCACCCAGGGACCCCGCAGTGCAGTGCCTGGGGGGCTGTGCAGGGGACAGAGGGGGGTGCAGGGAGGGAGCAGGGCTGTGCGCAGGGTGAGAGCAAAGTGAGGGTGCAGGTCAGGCAGGGGGCAGGCAGGGCGTGGGCAGGGGGAGGGTGGAGATCAGGCAGGGTGCAGGTGGGGCACAGGCAGGGTGCAGACAGGGTGAGAGCAAAGTGAGGGTGCAGGTCAGGCAGGGGGCAGACGAGGCGTGGGCAGGGGGAGGATAAAGTTGGGTGCTGGCAGGGGGAGGGTGCAGTTCAGGTAGGGTGAGGGTGCAGTGCAGGGTGCAGGCAGGGTGCAGCTGCAGTTCAGGTAGGGTGCAGGCAGGGTGCAGACAGGGTGTGGGCAGGGTGGTAGCAGGGTGAGGGTGCAGTTCAGGCAGGGTCAGGGTGCAGCGCGGGCTGCAGGCAGGGTGAGGGTGCAGTGCAGGGTGCAGTGCAGGCAGAGTGTAGTGTAGGGTGCAGGTACAGTGTTGCGTGCAGTGCAGAATGCAGTGCAGGCAGGGTGCAGGTGGGGTGCAGGGCAGGCAGGGTGCAGGGCAGGGTGCAGGGCAGGATGCAGGGCAGGGTGCAGTGCAGGCAGCAGTGCAGGCAGGGGGGCAGGGAGGGGGGCGGGCAGG